TTTAAGAGTGGCTCGTTTCCATGAATTGGGAGCTGGTGAGTCCCAGTGTATGTACAGGTCCGTGTTTGTTGTCTTCCGATGGACGGTGGTTTCGAATTTATTATCTTGGTCTTTCCATGTAATCATCGTGTCAAGAAACGTGATACTGTTGTTGTTGGCAAGCTCGTAGGTGAATTTTATTTGAACGATAACATGCAATCTCTAGAGAATATTGAATATTATAATTTATTTAAATTTGTTAACTTTATAGTCAGGTTAATACACTGATGATGGACGATGGATGTCGTCCGAAATATTTGTATTAAGAAACTTCTTGTTATTCTCTTTGTCTATAAAATCTTAACCCAGTCAACCAACATCTTCTTGTTAATTTAACTTCGATTCTAGACAAGCAGGGGCGAGCGCCTGTCASTTAAAAGACATGTCTAGCCGATGTTGTGTAACATTAGTACGCATGGCCTAATCGGTTGTGCCTTTGATTTCCGATTCAGCGGGCCCAGGTTCAAGTCCCAGATGGACCCATATTTCTTTGATTTCTGAGGTAGGGTTGTCGTACGTATTCCGTATTAACTAACAAACGTATAGAGGCCCCTAACAAGCGAATAGAAGCACCTAACAAGCTAAGGAATGCCAATTTACCGGTGCTATTAGCAATGTAAAATACTTTAAATGTCACAAACAAATCGTTGTTTTCCAGCGTAATCTCTCGTGGTCAAGTTAGTTAAGGCGCTTTACATTTGTAGTCGAAGGGTTAGGTTTAGGGAAAAGGACGGGTCAGGCTATAAAATGTTAAATTCATAATTGCTGCAGAAGGGCAAAATTTCTCGATTTTAACCCAGGATGCAGTACGTTTTCATTAACCGTCTTCCTTTGCGCCACTATAAAAGGCTGAACAGTCCCGGATGTTCTTTCTCCCTTGGGTTTACATTAGCTTGTGTTCTTGAGTTGAGTCGAGTTTTGTTGTGTTATTTTGATTTTTCATTTTATTGTTATTTTTTTTTTTTGATGGACCCCTGTTCGCTTGTTAGGTGCTTCTATTCGCTTGTTAGGTGCTTCTATTCGCTTGTTAGGTGCTTCTGTTCGCTTGTTAGGTGCTTCTATTCGCTTGTTAGGTGCTTCTATTCGCTTGTCAGTTTGTGCCATATATGGAATACGTACTACAAACCCGCCTCTGATTTCTTTATTTGCCAAAAAATAAATCAGATGTAGCACAGGGAAACCAGTAGAGAATCACAATGCAAATATACAGAAGTTACTATAGTAACCAAAAATTAACCGGAAGTTTACAGAAAACGTAACAGGAAGTTTACAGGAAAGTGAGCGAGTGACAGCCTGTCCCCTCCCAAYAACTCTACGATTGCTTACGCAATCTCCGAGTTAAAAATGACAAAAGTAAAGATTAAAGTTTACGTTGACCTTACCTCGACTCTCGACCGTAGTCTCCTTTCGCATCCGTTTTCGCTTCGGGCTTCCTGGCCCTCCCCTCAAACGGCTACCTCGACCGCTGATGTTTCCCTCAGCTTCGCTTCGGGAAACATYAGCGGTCTCGGGACCACAAAACATACTGTTTCCCTCGGTTCCAGTAAATAAGTGTTAACTATTACACATGTCGATACGTTACGGGTTGGTATGAATGAATATATTATGAAAATAAGCACATTGTGCAAACTTTAGTCGACTTCAGCTCTCTAAGAATTAATTTACCCAAACATTTCATTTGATATACTTGAAGTATTATCCTTTCGCATTACACAGGTGAGATATAACTGAATTCGGAGGTATCGGTATGGGTGAATTTTGATGCCGAATTGATACTACTTTTTAACATGACAAATGTATGTAAAATTGAAAAATTCGCCAAATATTGCTCACGAGTCCTATGGAGCTAAAACTCTGTGTGAGTACTCCTGAAGTGTCATATTAACGTCAGATTGGTGCTTTAATATTGAAAGCGTTTTAAGTTTTTACAAACTGGCGTTTTAATTTCCGTGTATTTGATCCCCGAAAATTAGCATAGTTATATACGTCCAGAAAAAATTGTGCTGTGGCTCTCCCATATATTTGCTATACGGGGACGTGACGCTGGACAGGGTATGGTTTTTGGCCTTGCTATCTTAAACAGGGTATACATTTCACCCGAAATTGTCTTAACCAGGCTCTACAATTTAGATAAAAGACCGATATAATTTTTTGTGTGTCTTGGACAGGGTAATATTTTCTTCAAAAACTCATACAGAATTAATGAGCTACTAGGCCAATAGAATGAGACTATTTGGTCACATGCATGGACCTTTATATCTGATAAAACACTCCTTATTAGTATTCTTTATACCTGATAAAACACTCTCTCTCGTGTTTT